TTCTTGATTCAAATAATGATTTTGAGTTTGTTTCAGATTGTACTTGAGGTGTATTTATTGTAAAGTTATTAGTTTTCTTAATCTTTTTTAGAAAGTTCAAAATAAATTTGATCGAATTTCTTGCTAGAAATATTTATATAATAACAAATAGATGTTGAAATTAATCTAATATAGGTATCTCTAGTATTTTTGTTGAGAGTATATATAGCTCTTTAGAAGAACTCAATAGTATTAAAGTTAATAGAATAATCATTGTACTTGGTTCTGTACCAATTCTAAAATTTTAGAAATGTTGTAAGTAAATTTTGTTAAACTATAGTATGACAAATTGTACAGCTATTGTCAGATCTTTTCTGATATTTTGCTTTAGTAAAAGTATTATTTGTTTTGTATAAAAAGTTATATACTTTAACACTTTGTATATATTCTTGAATATTTATTTACAAGTGTTTAAAACCAAATAGAGAAGCCTTTATTTTAATGAAATTTAAATAAATTGTTTAGTCTGTTTTTTGTTGATGCTTGATTATTTAACTCTTTTTCAAATAGCTTTAAATTATTTAGATCATGTTTTGGATAGTAAGTATAAGAAAAAGGGTTTGACTAAGGTTTAGATGATAGATTGTAGATAGTTTTAGTAGAGTTGTTAAAATTTGAAAAAAATTCTAAATAATAAATAGCAGGACAAGCAGGTTCAAAAAAGTTGAGTTCAATTATATGTTTATTGTTCCAAAGATCTTTAGAGAGAGGTTGAGAATGTTTATTTCTCTAATTAAATTCACAAATTTTTAAATAAGAAAATAATAGAACTGTTTGTTTAGATGTTAAAGAAGAACCAAATTTTATTTGAGCGATAGTAGATTCAAGTTTTTTAACTAATTTAGAGTATTTCTCATCAGTTAGGATTTGATTGAAATATTTTCAGATAAAATTAAAATAATATTGTGAGAAAGGTTGTATATAGTTAAATAAGAAAGATATGTTTATATAAAATATATGAGTATGACTAAAGTATAAATATAAAATAATAAAGAATAATATGCAGTATTATAGAATAATAATTCAAAGAAGAAAATAAAAAATAAAAAAAAAAGAAAAAAAATAAAGTAATCAAAATAATGAAAAGAAATTAGCAAGAAAGATCCAGAACACTGTCAACTTTAGCAGAATTGAAGTTATAAACAGATTTTAAGAGAATATTAAAAAAATAAAGAATAGATATTCAATAAAATTCAATTTAATAGCCTCCTAAAGCACTATAAGAATTTTGAAATAGGTTAATATATAGGATAACACTTATTGTTTTTTGTATGCGGCCAGATATAATACAAAAATATTTATCCTTTACAAGAAATATTAGCTACTAGAGCTTAAAGATATTCTAAATATAATTAGAGAAAATAGCACTAATATCCAGACTGTCAATGACTATATATGGTCTTGAATTTCAAAATAATATATAAAATATATTATTTTTATAAGAAAAAGAATAGTCAAACTAATAAAAATTTAAAGAAATATAGAAAATAAGAAAGAAGTTATCTTATATAAATGATAGATAACAAGAAAAGAAAATTTAAAAAGAAATTTAAAAAGAAATTTAAGAACATTTAAGAAAAAAAAGGCTAAAAATCTCAAAAAAAAATAATTTTAAACCTGTTATTATTGTCAAAACTGTAATATGCTTGCTTGGCTTAACTAAATATAAAATATATAATAAAATTTAAGAAAATATATAAGAAAATATTTATAAAAATTTGTCTATATTACAATATAAACAAAACAAGACATATTAATATAGCTATAACTTTAACAAAATAGCTGCTTAAAAAGCTTACTATTATAACAACCAATGCACCAATTTCATATAATCACGGCCAATCAAATTATAAAATTTTGATGATCATTAGCGAAGCAAAGCAAAAAAAAAAAGAAAAACTCCAAAAAAAAAAAATGCAGTCTAAACCTACCTCAGATAAGTTAAATAAAAATATTGAAAAGACAATTTTGCTTATATATAACAACCTAAAACCTAACCTAACCTTAATATAAGATGACCCTAACTTTAAAGTTAATTGAGAAAATTATTAAATATAAGATCATGTGAATTTGCCCCACTTTAGACATCCCCAAAATGATCTAAATGTTACGAAATCCTCAATAATCAATTAGTATACTATGTATGCTATGTAGTGATACAAATCAATGAAAACTTTCAATTAATTAGTTAATAGATCATTTTATCCAACTAATCAATTAATCAGTTTTTATTTAACTAATCAATTAGTTGGCCAATCAATTAATTGATTAATCAATTAATTGATTAATCAACTAATCTGATTAATTAATTAGTTGACAAATTGATTAACCAACCAATTGATTAATTGAATAAATAATAAACAAAACTTGGTAAAATACACGTAAGGTAGCAACCGAACAGCCAGTTGATTTTCTTATATGATCAGTTGATTTAATCGATCAATCAACTAGTCAATTAATTGACCAATCAACCAATCGATTAATCGATTAGTTGGCCAATTGATTAATCGACTAAGTTGGGTCTGTAAAATTCAAATTGATTAGTTGACTACAACAATTTGATTTTCGCTAGTAACAGGTTGATTGACAAAATTTTTACTATTTCAAACTTTTTGTCTATAAAACTGCTCTTGTTGCTCTAAGAACAACAATTCTACATAACAGTGCAAGAAATCTAAAAACCACAATCTCCTGATAAAGACAAGTACGTATAAACAAGTAATTTCCAAATTATTAGCATCAATAAAGTGTATACATAAATACTTTATTGAAGTCGATAATTTAAGAAATATTTGATTTCAACTTTATGGAAGTTGATAATTTAAGAAATATTTGATTTCAATATGCGTCTCTTCAGAGTTAATATAATGTTTAATTAAGTAGCACATTTGAAATCAAGAGTTACTTAAATTATCGATTTTAATAAAGTATTTATGTGCACTTTATTGATTCCAATAATTTGGGAAATAATTTGTTTATCTTGTCTCTATAAAGAGATTGTGGTTTTTAGATTTCTTGCACCGTACATACGTACTCTAACTCCTTCCAATCCAACCTGGGTCTTGCATGTATATTATAACATGCAAGTTTCAAGTCATTCAGGCCGACCAGTTCAGAACACTAAATGCAATAGTATACAATGAACTTAGCAATGAATATAATTATATTTGAAACTGATGAGTTTATAGATTAGCGTGCAGGCGCTTGACCTTGTTAAAAACCTACGATATTCTTACAAGAAATGGCTTAAAAACTATTGAATTAAATCTTATACAGTATTAGGCTGAAAAAAATTAGATATAATATAAAACATAAAGAAAGCAAAATATCTTTCAAGAGCATGGATGAGTGAAATAAAAACATTTTCTATTAGCGATAAATTAAAACTAACTTGATTAGTAAAATTTATGATGCAGTTTTTGTTAAATACAAGTTTCTACAATTTAAGTATTATTGAGTATTACCAAAATTGGCTAAATTATTAGTCTCACCTTCCGAAGACAAGATTTTTATAATAAATTTCATTAAAAACATATTCTTTTGCAGCACAAAGGTCCAAACAGTCATTGAAAATCAATAATAAGATTTTGTAAGACTCGGGTAAATTTCGGCGTTGGCATAAAAATTTCACATCACCCGAAATTACCCTTTCTACTACAAAAACCCCATATTTAATGTCGTTTTAATAATTATACCAATCTGATTTTAATTGGTGTTTCATTAATTTATGCATTATACTAGGAGAATTAAGTGTAATGATTATATATAAATAGGTTTTTCTTGAAGATACATATCACTTCATAGAAAATTATTTTGCAAACAACTTATTTTATAGACAATCAATTTATAGACAAGTTTATATTAAAGACAATTAATTCATGGACAGTTTATTCCATAAACGGTTTATTTTACAGACAGTTTATTTCATAGACAATTTTTGACATAATTTACTAGTCTGTTTTAGGTATATGAAATAAACTGGTTATAAAATGAACTGTTTATGAAATAACCTGTTTGTAAATTAATTGACTTTAAAATAAACGGGTGGTCAATTTCCGAAAGGTCATAATTCCGACAAAAAACCTGACAGTCAAAATCCCGACAGTCAGAATTTTCTAGAAAACCCAAAATATGGGTATATTCAAAGCGAAGTAGACTCTTACAATTTAATTAACTTTAGGATTAGATTACTTTAGATAAAGGTTATTCCAGGGTTAGCTATGGTTTATGATATTTTTTATCAGAATATTTAACTGTTGGATTTTTAATTGTCGGGATTTTTTGTTGGGATTATGACCTGTCGGGATTTTGATCCAAACTCAAATAAACTTGTCTATGAATTAATCCTATAAAAAATTTTTATCTGAATATTTCCATTATTTCTCTGTGGCCTCTCTAAAAATTCCATGAAAATGATACATTTACGGATATCTGTGATAAGGAGATGCAAATTTTCATGATTTAGTGGTTAGATCTGATTATCTGCTTATCCGAATATAATTAGATGAAACACTTAATTCAGATAATTTATCTGATCCATAAATTGATAACTGTTAATCTGAATTAACCGGATTTATCTAATAATATCTGGTTTGAAATTTATCACTATTGTTATGATCTTTTAGAATTAGATTGATTCATAGCTTTGGTTTGATATTAAACTTATTTACCGTTATCGTTATTATTATGATCGTTAAGAAAAATATCTATCAATCACTTTTATTTTCTTTTAGAATTAGATCGATTTGTAATTTTGGTTCGAAATTAACTATAATTTATTGTTATCATTATGATCATTAAAAAAAATATCTATCAATTGCTTTTAGAATCAGATTAACTCATAGTTTTATAAATGATCTAATTTAAAAAGAGCGATAAATGTAATAACGGATAATATATAAAGTTTAATAAACTTATAAAAATTCTTAAACTTAAACTTTAAAACTTTAATTCCCAGTAAAATGGACATGCAAGTTGTCTTAGAAGAAAGTAGTGAAGATAACATGAAGTTAGATAATATTGTGGCTTCTCTTGATTATGAATCTGTAGCTTCTTCCAGTCATGAATCAAACAATATTACTAGACATGATGGATCTCAGTCTAATAGCAAATTTTGGAAATACTTTGATAAAAATAAAATACTTGGATATGGTATTTGTTGTGTTCAGTTTTTTGGAAGAGATAGTACACAATCATGCAGTAAAAAGATACGATATTCTGGTTCTACTGGAAATTTTTGGTATCACTTAAGAACTGCGCATGGAATTTCTAATACTGACGACGATGATTCAGCAAGTGATATGCCGAAAGATGCAATAGAAAAAAATCCGCTAAAAAAAAAACATTTAGATAGTATAATAGTTAAGTTTATAGTTAAGGATCAACAACCACTTTCGGTTCTAACTGATGAGGGTTTTACTGAACTAATGGCAGAGGCATTTCCATCTTACAAATTACTCTCCGAAAAGATGGTTAAATCAATGTTGTTAGAATCTTATAGTTACGTTAAACAAACTATAGGTTCTAATATTTCAAAAAATTTGGCAAGTTGTTCTCTTACTCTTGATTTGTGGACAGCAAAATCTCGACAAGGATATATAGGTATTACAGCATCTTATTTAGATAATCAGTTTAATTTGCATGAAATATTACTAGCAATGAAACATATTCCATATCCACATACGGGAGAAAATATCACTGATGAAATATCTGATATACTTAATGAATGGAATATTAAAGATGAAGTATTTTGTATTACAACAGACAATGGTGCAAATGTAAAAAAAGCAATTGCACTATTGTCAAATTATATACGTATACCTTGTACCTCTCACACTTTGCAATTGATAATTGGAAAAGGACTTCTGCCATGTGAAGTCCTAGTAGCTCATGCACGTCAGCTTTGTAGTTTCTTTACATCACCAAAACAAAGTGAAAAATTGCTTCAAGTACAAAAGAATATGAATTTGTCGAATAATCAGATATATTAGTTACATATATGTATATATATAGACTAGAAAATTATTATCATTATGTACAGATTATTTATTTTGCAGGTTTTACAGGGATTACTGAAATTCTAGATCAAACTTCATTTGATGATCTTGGATAAATTAATCAATTCTAACATATTTAACTACATACGTATATATATACATATATATGTATGTATATATGTACGTACGTTCTAATTAGGGCTCTGCAAGTGCCAAGCACGGGCACTATTAAAACATAGTGCTAGGCACAGGCCCAAGCACCATTTTTTTTTTTTTTTTTTTTTTTTTTTTTTTTTTTTTTTTAAAGGTGTCCTTCAGGACTAAGCTTTATTGATGTTTTGTCGTTGATCACATGGATCTACATTTTAGTATTACAGAAGTACTACCCACCAATTATTCTAAGCTAAGTACCTTTATATCGAAGTGCCCCCTATTATCTTACCTGAACTTGGTTACCCCATTGGTTACCCATAGGTCCCCACAGGTAGGCGTAGTAGCTGCCCTCTAATTCTTCTATGTTCTACACATTTCTGAATTAGGTTCAGAAAACCTATCTGCTATGGCCGAAACCAACACTAGCAGTCAGAGCTAACCATTAAACCGCACAATTCCTGGTTCCTCTGCCCTTATAGAGTTTGTCCAAACCTCAGTACCCACTATACAGACTACCTTCGTACTTCCGGCTTCTCCAAACTCCCAATCCAGATAGCCCGGAAGGGCGGATCCTTTCCTCCGACTGACTTGGCGGCCTGGTTGGTATGGTGCTTGCCAAACACCTCGGTCCCATTCGGTTTTTTCTTTTTCCAGATGATAATCCTTTACATAGTACCGTCGAAAGTCTGTGCTACCTCTCTATTCAGGACTTGCCAAGTAGGCTTCCATGTGCTCCAAACTCCTGGATTTATTCGGCTGCTTCACTCGGGATTTGTGTAACTCTTTCATCACACTAATGTTCCACAACCTCCCAGTACGAGCTGGTATGACCAAGCCTACAGATCCGATGATCCATTCGATTGCACACAGTTTGCCGTAACACATTCCTTAAATTCGAATTTCGTCACCGGTGGGATTTGAACTTTTGACCTGCCACTTGGGGATGTGACAACTTATCAACTACACTAAGTCACCACACCCTTAAGCACCATTTTTAATAGTACGTGCCCAGTATATGCAGAACCCTAATTCTAATTTAGAATTTTGGTAATTCTTCTGTATAAGTTATTACTGCTGCACTGCCAAAATTAAATTTTTCTAGTTTTATATGTGTGTTTATATAAAATTTTGCTAATAATTTAAAAATTTTTTTAAGCTTTTGTTAGTAAATGACGAATGTCTTAGAATTATTAATGATGTATCCACTCGGTGGAATTCATCATATCTTGCATGGATAAGATTACTTAAAATGCGTCATATAATAGGTGCTATGATTAGTTATTTAGAATTAGAAAATAACCGTGATTCAAAGCGTAACTGTAGTCGTCTTAAAAAGATAAATCTAACTAATAAAGAATGGATGGCTATTGAGCAATTAATTCCTGTTTTACGTCCATTCGCTGATGCTACAGAATTTCTTGGCGGCAGTAATTACTCAACTATTAGCTGTATATATCATGCAATTTCACTTATAAGGTCAGATCTTGCGCCAAGTAGAGATTATATAGAACCAATAGACTTTACAGACCCAAGTACAGCATTTGATGAAGATATTGGATATGAAGATGTTGATGAGGATATTGATAATAATCCTTCTACTTATCGTCGTAAAATTCGGATAAATACTCCTCAAAATTGTGATAATCTTATTTTACGAGTTCGTGCTGCACTATATAAAAGTCTTAATCATTATTATTCGGTTCCAACAGAAACTGGCTTAATGGCAGCATTACTGGATCCACGAAGCAAATCTTTATTATTTATATCACCATATGATGCACAAACAACGTTTGACAATCTGCATGTGTTATTTAATAACTCAAACACTAATATATCTGCTACGCAGGTTCAAGAAAATTCAGATGATTCTCTGCTTGTACGTATGTATCGACGTCAGCCAACCAATGCTGATGAAGTTACAAAATACCTTGCATATCCAAAGATTTCTCCAAATATCAATCCACTTCAATGGTGGAAAGACAATGAAAATAATTTTCCATTTTTAGCCAAATTGGCTAAGAAATATCTTGCAATACCAGCCACCTCTACCCCTAGCGAAAGGTTATTCTCTGACGCTGGCAATATTATGACTATACGCAGAACAAGTTTGAGCCCAAATGTATTTGAACATCTTCTGTTTCTAAAAAGAAACAATAAGTTGGTTCATAATATATTTCCTAACTAGTATCCGTGAAAGCTAAAGAATTTAGTAAAAATGGTAATATAATTTTTTTTTTTTTAAACAAGTTTTGTTTAAAATAATATCAAATATCATAGAGCGCCGTACTTAGTACTCAGTATATAAATTAAAATCATCTTAATTAACTTTATATTCGAAGAGTACAGTGTAAAAAAAAGGATGCAATTCAAGAAAAAGATTTTTAACTAATCTTTAGACAGAGATTTGTTTTTATTAGACATTACTACTTTTACATGCTTAATTTATACATAATGATAAGGCATGATAATATTGAATATATCTAAGTCTTAATCTGGAAATACGATTCTATAAGTACTGAATGCTCTTTGGCGCAGAGTAATATTGCTAAACTGATTCTAAAATTTTATTTTAAAATACAAAATATAGGTTGAATCTCGAAAAACACATTGTTTCATGATAATAAATATTTCGGAAATATGGTACACTTTTATCGCATCATAAGCTAAAAACTACAAAGAATCTTTGAAAAAGAGCTTCGGGGGACCAAGAATTTTTTTTGTCTTTTTTTTGGATCTCTTGTAGTATAGGTGACACTACTTTAAGTCAATTGATTAATAATACTTTTTATTAGCGGTGTCACCTATACTGCAAGGATCCTTTTTTTTTTTTTTTTTTTTTTTCTTCTTCTTCTTTCAAACTCTTCTATTAAGGAACGCTAGGAGGCGTAATTGAACCAAGCATTTTTAATCAGTATAGAATTTACTTAGTAATCAAGAATTATTAAAAAAAATAAATAAATAAGTAGTTAAAAATTTTACGATAGGGTGAAACCTGATAGTGAAATATAATCATTACATGTGGGTGAATTTGCTTTTGTACGATATAAAAAAAAAAATAATATTATGAAAATTTCACCTAACCCAATCTACAAAGCGGATTTCACTACTTCGCTAAACGTCTAATATTAATGGCCTATTCAATATTTTTATTTTCTAATGTTTGAGAACTCACATCTATATTTGAATCAAAGGTTTTCCGGTCAGGCTAGTTGAAATCGCAATATTTGACCTTATTAGCATTTGGCACTAATTAAAATAATACATGTAAACTTTTAAAGACGTTCAACGACCAGACCAATAAATGGTTAAAGTTTTTAATAATATAAAAAGAAACTGTGAAAGGAATACATACGTAAGGTTCGACGCTAATCACTATATCAGTATCAGATATCCAGATAATTATTCAGAAATGATCAGATTAATTAGATAATTATCTGCATATGACCGAATTGATCAGATAATTGTCTCGGTAGATAAATAGATGACCAGATCTAACCACTACCATGATTTAAGGTTATAAATTCCATGAAAATGAAACATTCATGGAAAAAACATGAAATAATAAACACGGATCAACATTTTTTATAGGGTAATTGTCAATATATAAAATAAAATGGTCATCTATGAAGCGATATTGTACAGCTTTTTGAAGTCAAATCAAATGTAGCCCAGTTCAAATCTATTGGGCCGAGTTTATATGCTTTCAAACGCGTATTATACCCTATGAAAAAAGTCGGTCCTTGTTTTATATTCCTGTTTTGTCCATAAATGTTGCATGCATGTTCACGGAATTTATAATCTTAAATCATGGAGATTTTGTCGATCATGAAATAATTTTTTACAGGGATACAGTATAGCTAATTAGCATTTAGGCGGTACTTATATTGGATACGTATCATTTTATAGAAATCATTTCACAAACATTTCATTTCATAGATAGGGTTGTTAATGGAGTACATCAGACATAATAAAACATATAACCCGCTTCTGGAGTGAAACTAAATAATGTTGGTGACTATCTAAAATCTGATTGGCTGTTATATTAAATTTCACCAGTTTCACCATCATTCACCAAGAGTTTCACCAGTTCATCGGCATCTATAGTACACATTTAATAACATATGTACTCCACAAAATTCAATGCTGTAACTATTGCAGGGCAAAAGTTCTTTATTGATAAAATAAGGTCGATAAAAAACGAAAGCATGATTAAAAAAATATTCGGGTCAGCAATATCGTTGAATATTTGAGGACCATTAAGTAATATTGGTACAGTCTGACCTCGATATAATCACCAGGCTAGGAAACAAAATTTTGATGATTATAAAAAGTTGTGACTACATGAAGGTCAAAATTTATATGTTTTATATTACTTCGGTTAAAAAAATAGCGTGATTATAACAAGATTGTGACTATATCAAGAGTAACTATCAAACGGTCAGACTGTATTTAGAATAAAATTAATTTAATTGAGAATTGCGATGAATCAATATATAGTTGCAATAAGAATTATATTATGAGTGTCTATTCAGGATTATAGTTAATAAATGAGCAAGGTTTGACTAAAAAGTCTCGAAGCACCATAAAGGTAGGGTGACCTGGTTAAGGTCACATGTCCGAAGAGTTTAAATTGTCTCCCAATTATTTTTATTAGTACAAAACGGATTTATATGATCGTTTCTCATTTTTTTTCCATGCCTTCTTTTTTGTTTCGTCGGGCTAATCAAATTATTTGGCTCTCGTAATAGGCAGAGGCAAATTGCGTTTACGGTACGTAGTCTAACGATATGATTATTTATATGTATAACATCTTTTTCATAATTACACATTATGACATTGTTAACGTAGTTTATTATTGATGAAAAACGATTTATTTTTAAAAAAGATTTGAGTTTTTTTTTTATTCATGATTACGAGGCATTTGCCGAGTCAATAAAATAGTCCAATAATAATATAAACCCAAAAAAGAAAAAAGAAAAAAATAGATAATATAATAATATAACTTTTTAAAAAAATAAATTTAAGAAATCCAAAAGCTGCTAATCGTTCTAAGAGCAATTGTGTCTGATTTCTCATAACTATAATAGAGCCAATTCAAGAGCAAACCGTTAATAATATACCTTTGATTAAGTTATCCTAGTAAGACTAATTTGTAAATGAAGATCTCATTGATGCTAAATGATTTCAACGCCTAATTTGGTGTCCTTGGTCCTCGCCTTGGTGGCAATGTTTTAGCTCCAGGGCTAGGTGTCCTCTGCTGTCTCCCTGAATAAGGTATAGGTGGAACTCTACCACCTCTAGGACTCATGGAACGACGCCTTAATATAATATATGAACATGTATTAAAGTCATTATGCGTCGACTTTAATGGCATTACCTCATTTAATAATAATATTAATGATAATAACCTGAACATTCCAGTTCGAGGAGATGGTGGTCTCATCGGATGTGGTCCGATCATTGGATCAGGATAGCGGGAAGGTGGTAATGGAGAGCGACCACGATAAACAGGTGGTATTGGCGCATCTCTATTATAAATGTAATGAGTGAAAAAAAGTGATAATTAGATGATTTATAAATGATTTAATTATTGATAATTACCTTAACCCCCTATCATAACTTCCACGACGTGGTGGTGGTGGTGATCCTGTTCGGCCTCTAGGTGGATATGGTAGATCAGGTGGTGGTAATGCCCGTCGTTCGTAACCATCTCTTTCGTAACCATCTCTTGGAGCAGGATAGTAATTACGATCGTAATTATCTCTATTGTAACGTTCGTATTCACGATCAGGATAGCCTCGTTCGTAAGGCCTATCTCTTTCTCTCTCATAAGGTCTGTCATAAGATCCACGATATTCCCTTCTGTATTCTACCTCTGGAGGTTCTCTACCATAACGATCGTATGGTCGATCATATCCTCTATGTTCAATAGGAGGTGGCATTGGATACCTTTCATCTCTGTCGTATTTTTCTCGGTTTTCTCTAGCATTGTATGGTTCCCTAACATAGCTGTCTGTTATTCGACGATCATCGTATCGACCACCTGGTTTACGAGAAACAAGCTCGCGAGGGGCGCTAAATGACATCAATTATTGAAGACATAAGCATTTCTCAAGGTGCTATGTTGACTTGTGGAGCAGCAATCTTAAAACTTGATGAATGACTCCCATTTGATTTATAGCAATGTCTTAAAATGATTATAGTTGCCAATACACTGTTCTGATTCCGTGAGTAACTCTGTCTGCCCAATGACCATGACGGTTGCTTACCTAGTACATTCTCGTGCCCAATGCCCGACTTGACCGCATTTAAAACATGTATCACTGGATTTCCCTTCTCTGAATTTATTAAAGTTTCCGTTCTTTTCGGCGTGAGCAAACTCAACACGAAGATGAGACCCCTGAAAGTCGGATCCATTAAGTTGACTAATTGCTTCATCACACATGCGACGTTCTTCATATTCCTTTTCATTGATTTTATGTTGCAGTTATGTCAGTACCATTACTATTTACAACGATCGTTCAGAATTCCTCTGTATACTGCTAGCTAATGCGCCCAAAGGATTTCTTAAACGTAGACGGTATAACAATGCACCCCTTTTTTTAACATGATTAATTTGGAAATCCTTTGGACGCATACGACACTCGCGGGCCACTGCGGCTCCACTTTGTCAACAGTTAATAAGTGCTCATCACCATAGAGAAACGCTTACAATGAATCCGTAAGTTCCTTTGAGCTCCATATTAACTACGGTGCCAAACTTCAAAAAGCATTCTTTGATATCTTCCGGTCTTGCTCGTTCCGGAAGGTTACCGATGTAAATTTTTACCCCTGCATTTGGCATCATGAACCTTCTCCTTTAGATTTTAAGTGGTATCTAATCGTAAGCGTGGTAGTGATTTGATGTTGGACCCTCAGAAATATCTATAAGTTTAATTCACGTAATTGAGATTCCGGAGAGAGATACATTGTGTTTGTCAGCACCTTTAAACAGACTGCTAGATAAATGATCTATAATGAACGAGCATTGAGATAGGTTGCCAGGTTGATATATCCCTTAAAATGACTTGTTTGAACCACGACAACAATGTCGCACAAAGTTTGCAGCACTATTAATGAACTAAAGTTTGCTGTTGAAGACAGCTAGAAACCGAATATACTTATGTGGCAACCTTTTGATGTCATGTCGCCCCAACAAATGATTTCGAAATTAATTGAGAGTAAAACTCGCTGCCAAGCTTTTTGCCTTGCCATGTTCTTGTCTTGAGTTGAACGCTCAATGTTACCAGTTGCATGTGTACTTTTAAAGTACGTATGTTTTGTCCTTACCGTTACTTTGATTAAGTTATTAGCGCGTTCTCTTAGAATTAAAAGAACTAACTTTTCCTTTAAAATCGACCTCTTTATACTTTTTCTTGTTGTTTGAAGCAATAAGAACTCTCCTGAAGTTCTCACCCTTTCGCAAGGTTCCAGGCGTTTCGCTAAGATAACCAAGTTACAGTCTTTTTTAAGATCCCGCCGTGAGCTGATGCCCGCAATCGCAAGTTGTCTGTGTATAAGAAAACTGCTATTTCGATTGTACTATAATAAGTGCATAAATTTATACTAATCAAACATGTGGTGCAACTATCCGATTTTCGTTTCACATGATTTACATGATTTACAAAAAATTAATTCTTTACGTAAGAAATTTTTGAAACTCGTACGTACGTACCTACCTAAATGGAAGCTTCTGAGCAATCCGCAACCTCAATACCTAAATGTATGCGTGGAATAACTTTAATTCACTTTGGCAGGCGGACTTATCGCGTTCCTACCGCTTCGATTCCGAAAACTAATCATAAAGTGTTAGGTAGTCTTGAATTAAATGTTAACGGTTTTCAGCCAAATCTTTAACACAATATACTCTTATCATTCACAGCCCAGCAAGTTTCTACCTCCAATGACAAAATATTAAGTGATTCTTCTACAGAAATTACGACAATTAATCTCACATATCCTCAACATCTACACAAATTTATATTGGGTAATTTACAATATCTAAGTGATTTAACTTGAAATGATTAATTAAAGGGGTGCTTATAAAATAGGAAAAAGTGGATATAATTTAAATCAAATTCAACGTGACTCAAAAACTACGATCACAATACAACGTGGAGATGATAATGTTGGTAAATTGCAATTTTATTAATTGCAACGCTGATCGTTAATATCATTTAATCTTTATCTTTGTATTCAGTAATTAAAGGTACAAAAGAAAATGTGGAAAAGGCTATAAAACGTATAGAAAATTCAGTTAAATGGGTGGGTTGATTTTCTTTAATCAATAATAATAAAACTCCAGCGCCTAATAATAAACATTATTATTTTAAGGGAGCTGAAAAGTTGCGACCAACTCATTTTTTTTCTTTGCCGCTTACGGATCTACTTCTTCGGCAGAAAGTTACAGACTTTCAATCTGAAGTAGCATCACTCGCACTTCCCAATGTAGATGAATCAATGTTTATTAAACCACCTTCTCTACATCTCACTTTGGGTGTGCTAAATCTACATGCACAAGAGGATATTGAAGGTGCTGTACAATTGCTTAAAAGTTTAAATGCAGAAATTTATGACTTGGTAGGCACACGATCCATAGTTGCTAAGTTGTTAGGAATAGAGGTCATGGAAAATAATCCTGGTAAATAAAGACTTGAAACTTAATCGATATTATAATTGTATGTTAATTAACTCTCATCAACATGTCAATTGGTTTTTAGCCAAAGCGAATGTTTTGTATGCAAAGGTGGAGGAGTCTGAAGGCCGAGATGTTATTATTAAATTAGCAGGTGCGTTAATATACGCATAATTGGATTGATATTGATATTTTTGCCGTATCTGACTGTTAACTGTTCACATCATTCGATAGAATTTTTGACAGCCAAGTTCACAGAAGCAGGTTACATGAAGAAGGATAATCGTCCATTCAAGGTTTTTACAAAATTCATTAATATTTCTATATTACACTTGTTTCATAGGTAAACTTACTGTACATATGAATGCTCGTTATAGCTTCATGCAACACTAATAAATGCTAGCCATCGAAAATTCTCAAAGAAGGATAATCATAAACAGCGTTATCGACCATTTTCTGCCATCCCAATTCTTGATAAATATACAAATTTTGAATATGGAACAAGTAAGATTGAAAAACTTCACATATCAAAAATTGGTACTTATGATCAAACTGGAATGCATAGAAGTGAAGGATATATTAATTTGCCGTAGTGGAAATACAAGTGCCATTATTTTATTTATACTACACTTAAATTTTTAAGTAGACTTAATCATTTAACGTAAATTACGAGACCAAAAACTAGCTAACTGTAATTGTAATAAATAATATACACAAATAAGATTATTGTCAGGTTGATTTATACAATTAAGTAAAGACTTACTAGTGCTAGTTAAATTCAAGTTACATCAATACGTTATTTTGTAGGAGGTTAGTGATGTCTAACCCGAGCTTCTGGAACTCGATTCGAACCTCGGATCGGACTTGTGAAGAACTAATACGTACAAGCCTAATACAAGTTAATACTATAGCAAAATTACGATCCGAGCAACTTTACTTAGTGCATCGGTTAACGGGTTTATTAGTAAAATTCTAGGGATTGGAACCGCCTAAAATTTTTTAATCGTTTAATCGTTTAATTTGGCCAGCATTAAGATAATTCCGGCCCACGACCAACATAATTCTGCCCGGAATTATGGAACAATTTTTAAACGGCTAAACGGTTCCAATCCCTATAAAATTCGCGATTTTCGGGCATAATGAAGTCCGGAAGCTCGGGTTACACGAAATGGGTAAAATCTTTCGGACATTACTAAATTTCGTATATTTGTTAGCCCGGTCCGAAAAAAAAAACCCCCCGTGAAATAAACCGGGCCGGGCCTTATTCAAAACCATACCGACCCGGCCCGCAGTTTATACAAGATTTTGCAAATACAGTACAGTTGTTTTCATAATTTCTGAAACACCTGATAAAAAATCTGTCGAATGATTTTTCGGCCGTTCTGGATAAGTTATTTATTTCGTTATCCCTTAAACCGTCCAGATTAGCGGACAAATTTGTCCGCTAAAATTTTATAAATTCATATTTGATCTACTTTTATCAAAAATTAAAATATTTTAATAAACTTTTT